TCTTTATATATTTTTTTATATCCTTTTCTTTTTTTGTTGTTTTTTTGTTTTTTGGTACCAGGAATCAAACTCAGGACCTTGAGCTTATGCCACTGAACTATCTCTCCAGCCCTTAATATACTTTCCATATATTTTAAAATTGAAACATGATTTCAAAAGCTAGGAGTTGTTACATTTGAGATGGGATAACTAGTAATTTTATCTGTATAACATCTGCAAGAAATATATACATATGCTTTCTGTAGTTGTGAAAACAAAGAAGGATTTTTTGGTAGGAAGTTTTCGTAATGCTTGGATTCAAAATCAGGGTCTCACATACACAGGTGTTCTACCACTAAGCAACACTCCAGCCCCAAAATAAGTTATTAGATAAGCTGACTGATCAGATATTGTTAATAAAACTATAAATACCTTCTTAAAAATCAAAACCATGTGACATAAAAATAAGTCATTTTAAAATCAATAATTCAGCGACACTCACAACATTCACACTAAAAAGATATTTTCACCACCCAAAGAAGCCCTATCTATACTCATTAAACAGATGCTTCCCATCATAACTACCTTTGCAACATTATCAGAGTAAATACTGATGTGATTTTTTTTTTAAACCAAGATTTTTATAATACTAGTAGAATTTCAATCAGCCAGAGCAGATTGAGGAGTTAGCTATCCAGCAACAAACTGCATTTCCAAGGACTACTGGATCTAACCAAACTCTGAGTGTCCACCCCCTACTAATCCACAGTGCTGGGGCTCAAAGTTTTCCAGAGCTCTGGATAAAGAATGACAAAGAACCGTCAGAACTGCAGCATCAACTTCCAGGCACAGACCCACATCCACAGTGTCCCTAAAACTGGCCTCGGGCCGGGGAGATGGCTCAGTAGAGTAAGCACTTGCCTGGCAAGCACAAGGCCCTGAGCTCAATCCCCAGTTCCGCCAAAAGAAAAAGTAAAACTGGCCTCAAACATACAAAGCTAAAGAGCCCTACGGCAAGCTTAAATTCTTTACCATCTTCATTTTACCACCTCTAATCTAATCTGTCTAATCCAATTTGTCATCACCAAAATCAAGGAAAAGTATTAAATATAAATCTATGTTCTAATCATCTCCCCATTCCCCACATATTGGAGAAGGGTCAAAGAAGCTATGCAATTAACAAGTATGTTAGACTCACCGTCTCAATTTTTTCTTGTTTAGTAACTATTCCCTTGTATATCTTTAAATCTTATAATATCAAAATTAAATTGATTTGGATTCCAGTAATCAAGGTACAGATAAACTAACAAGTACACAATGGTTCTCCACTAACAAGTAGAATTTTGAAACATAATTAAAAGATAGGAACCTTTAAAATAAAAATAGACTGAATTTACACATCTATTTAAACTCTTTCCAAAACCCTTTTAGGCAAATGGTATTTTTTTTAAAAAAGAAAAAGAAAGAACACTGGATAGAGTGGCACACGCCTGTGATCCCAGCTTTTGGGAGGCTGAGGCAGGAGGGTAGTTGCAAGACTGAGACCTGCCTGGGCTACAAAGTGAGTTCAAGGACAGCCTGAACAACAGAATGAGACCCTGTCTTGAAAAGAACCCCCCCCCCAAAAAAAAAGGCATAGATACTAGCTGGACAAAGTCATATATACCTGTGATCCCAGGTACCCAGAGTTTGGAGCATGAGGATTGCAAGTCTGATCCTTGCCTGGGCAAGCTAGCAAGACTCCTTGTATCAAAATAAAAAATAATAAGGACTGGGGATGTGGTAGAGTGCCCTTGGCTCTACACCTCAGTACTTCAGGGAGGGAAAAAAGGCATAAATGCTCAAAAAAAAAAAAAAAAAAAAAAAAAAAAAAAAAAAACTTTAAAAAAATTCTGGAACAGCAGTAATCTATTTGGCAGGTCAGCAAGAGTTTAATTTCTAAGCCGACAGAGGAAAAAGCCAAGAAGCAAACAGAACTCTGCCACTAAATCACACTCATCTCCCCAAAAAAGATTCAGGACTTTTTGGCAGTAGCACCAAGTAGTTCTGGAAGTGGCGGTGAGGACGATGCTAAAACAGGATGTAGAAATCTCAGCAAGAAACAGCCCGACTCGTGAATCCTCTCCGTCTTCCTGGCTGCCTCTGCCCTGGAGGAAGCAGAGTAGCCCAGAACTGAAGGGCAAGGGCACAGCAGTATGAACTACACTGAAATCTGGGAGATTAAAGGAAAATGTACATTGTACATACTAGATAGAAGCTGAGGGCCGGGGAGATGGCTCAGTGGAATAAGCGCTTCCCTGGCAAGCGCAAGGGCCTGAGTTCAATCCCCGGTTCCACAAAAAAAAAAGTAGCAGGTTAGAACCTGAACTCCACAACACATACCAGATTCTTAGTCCCCGAAAGCCTCGTCCCTTAATGGACTTCAAACACAGTGACAGCCAGGTTGGTACACACCAGATAGGAGACGGGATACCATTCTGGGGAATCTGATGAGGCCAGATGATTAAGATTATGACATGAGGGAAGAGCTAACAGTGTCCCAACAGATCACACTACAGGGATTTTCAGACACACGTCCAAAACACCAGCTTAGAACACTCTAATCTAGACTATTCTGGTATTTCACTTTTAAGTATTACCAAATAATCAAGCACTTCTGGACATCCAAGAAAAAAAATCTCTAAAAGAAATCAAAACCAACATTAGGCAGGAGTTGTGTTCAGCAGTACAGCTCCAACTCTGCATACTTAAAGCCCTACATCTAATCATCAGCACCAAAAAAATTAAAAACAAAACAAAATTGATCAAACAAAACTCTTATGCCAGGCGTGGTGGCACATGCCTGTAATCTCAGCACTCGGGAGGCAGAGGCAGGAGGATTGGTGTGAGTTTGAGGCCCAGCCTGGGCTACAAAGCGAGTTCAAGGCCAGCCTGAACTGCATGGCAAGACCCCATATCAAAAAAGACAAAAACAAAACAAAAAACAACAACCAAAAAAACCTTACTCTAGGCCAGCCAGGGTGG